TTTCCTCCTCCTCCTCCTCCTCCTCCTCCTCCTCCTCCTCCCCCTCCCCCTTTTAATTTTCCTCCTATTCTATCATGTTGTCCACTTTCCTGACTCAGGCAACATGCCAGCTACCCTAACCCTGCATTTTCAGGTCTTTTCTTCCTCCATCAAGAAAAGCTACCAAACAATCTCATGGGACACAGGCAGCCATTTTTACGGGACACTCTTTTTGGTCTATCAGTGTGTCATGTCCAGTGTCCCAAGGCTTCAGCTTCTTGGCCCACCCAATTCCTTAGGACATGGCTTTACTTCCCAGCTGTTTTGAATAACACATTTGCCTCTCTTCTCCAGACATAACACAACCAGCATAGACATCACTTTGTCTACCAGCTGCTTATTTTGGGCTTCAGATGAATCTCAACCCCAGCCTCAAATATCTGCAAGCTTGAATGGTCTATTATCTTCAATCTGTTGTTTTTTCTCCCTACTTTTTCCTGCTGATGATTATTAGTATCATTAGGATTCTTGCTACCATCCTCTTGGCTGCATGACAATGTCCATTCCTGATCTGCTTTATCTCAAAGCAGGAATGATTATAGAGCCACCCAGACTGTACTGAGCAATTTTAACATTTATCGTTGGATTTAGAGGTTGCTTAGGAATTCATGGCAGAATAACAGAATAATAGAGATGGAAGGGACCTTGGAGGTCTTCTAGTCCAACCCCTTGCTCAAGCAGGAAACCTTGTACCATTTCAGACAAATAGTTGTCCAATCTCTTCTCAAAAACCTCCAGTGTTCGTGCACCCACACCTTCTGGTGGCAAACCAATCCACTGATTAATTGTTCTAACTGTCAGGAAATTTCTCTTTAGTTCTAGGTTGGTTGTCTCCTTGATTAGTTTCCATCTGTTGCTTCTTGTCACTACCTTCAGGTGTTTTGGAGAATAGCTCGACTCCCTCTTCTTTGTGGCAGTCCCTGAGATATTGGAACACTGCTATTATGTCATCCCTAGTCCTTCTTTTCATTAAACTAGATATACCCAAATTCTGCAACCATTCTTCATATGTTTTAGCTTCCAGTCCCCTAATCATCTTTGTTGCTCTTCTCTGCCCTCTTTCTAGAGTGTCAACATCTTTTATATATTGTGGTGACCAAAACTGGATACAATATTCCAGGTGTGGCTACCATGATAACAATATCTTAGTCCCAGGATATCATTGGCTGATATCATATATGTGGCCATATACTAGATCTGCCTTTAACCTTGCAGTAATAATATGTAATTTGGTTCTGGAGAACATTTACACCCTTTTCTTCATGTAGACAGATCATCTTTTCATTGTGAACTGCCAAATTGCAGGCAGGATGGATTGGTTATGATGGTTTGTTCTAAATGCTTGAGGGATATGGATAGTTTCTAGATACTACTTGGAGACTTTCCCAGCATTTGGAAGGGTTGTTCTGTTGTCTCATCACCAACTGGGACCAGTGTCCCACCATTCTGGGACCAGAGCAATAGATAAAAATGCTCCTGAGAGATTGTTCCCCTCCTTAGTCTATTAATCCCAGGCAGCTCTTTTACTCACAGGACTTCCATGAAATGAAACAGAGAAAAGATGCCTGGGAAAACTTTGGTAGTAAGTGAAAAGTTTGTATGAATTGATATGGTCCAATTGAAGCCTATTCAGTGGCAGTCATAGTATTTCTGTGCCATTATTGCATCTGCAGAATGTCACTCAGCTGCACCAGAATCCTGGTAGTGCAGTGGAGAGCCCTGATGGCACTGTGGTTAGAATGCAGCATTAGAGGCTAACTCAACCCACAGTCTGGTGTTCAAACCTGAGGGGTCTCAAAGCTCTATCCTTCTGAAGTTGGTAATATGAAGACCTAGTTTGTTGGGGGCAATATGACACTGTAAACTGCTCAGAGAGCACTATGGAGCAGCAAATAAAACTAAATACTATTGCTATTGCTATTAAAATGCCCCAGATCCTGTAGGACTTGGGTATGTGGAAAGTCAGAGTGTAATTCTTAAGGATATCCATCTTACAGGAAGAGCAGTAGGAAAGGGAGTTAATATTAAGTATTGTTTGTGGGATCTCTCTCTATGCCCAAGGCAAGAATGCCCTCCATTCTCATTGCTTTCCAGGACCTGATGAATACATAATTCTTCCAGATAGCTTGTTGTAATTTGTTTTGGCTCCTACTTATTTGCCCATTTTTGGCCCCTACTTATTTGCCCATTTATGCTTTTCATTTTAATCCTATGTCAGCCAACCAGAGTCACAACTGGTAGCTGGGGGGCATATAAATGTTTTTTGGAGACTGATTATGGTGCCATTGGCACCTATAATGGATTAATGTAATGTATTATGGTTCTTACTCTAATGTTATTAGCACCTGTAAACTATCTAAAGTCCATTCATTCTCATGAATATCCTGGGAAATATTCTTTAAGGATTTCAAGTGTGATTTCAGCCTTCAACTTTATCTCTAGTACCATCAGTTCTAGGAAAGTGATAGATAAAGTAACACTTCTTGATGTCAGTAGAGAGCTATGGTGCTACTCTTTTCTGTGAAGTAAACCATATAATTATCTAAATAGCAAAATGAGAATTTGCCAGAAAAAACACAGAAACAGTGGTAAAAACAAGGAACCAGGAATCCTGGTTTATAATCCATGGCACTATATTCTCAGAACAGATCATTACCTATTTAAAAATGAGAAAATATTTACAGACATGCCCGTGGAAAAAATTAAATTTTAAAATGCGTGGAAGTTCCCATGCAGATTTATAATCTTCCCAAAATACACAGAAGGGGGTTCAATTATTAGCATCTTTTTTCTCTATTAAAGGGGTTGAAATGAGTTGACCAAAGCCTCATTTAGCAAATCATTTTTACAAACATTTTTCTGCAATTTTATTTTGTTAGGATGGGTGGCTGAGTTCCTATTATCTTAAGCATGCCTTACTCTGCCTCTCAGATGTATTTCTAGTGCAAGTGGTTATTCTATGTTGACATAATTGTCAATCTTGCCCTGAGAAACTCCCAATCTCATCTCTTATATACAATTTGGATTTCTTTCTGCTTCTCCCCCTTTCTTTGCATAGACAACAAATGTTGATTAGATTCCTCTGAATTCAGAAAGTTATTTATTTATGTGTGCATTTATTTGATTTATCTTCTCATTTTTATTTGAACAAATCAATATTCTTCTGTCCTGTTTTCCACAAAACCAAAACAAAAAACTATTTGCACACAGTTTGATCAGTGTTTCCTTAAAAATGCCAAGAGAACCTTGAATCAGAAAATATATAATTGTATCACTGATATGGAAATCTGAAGCTTTATAGAAATCATACCTTCACAAAACCCAAGCAGAGGGCAAAGGTATTCCAAAATACGATTGTCAAGCTTTGCTTGATTACATCAACAAAGGGAGCATATCACTTCCCTCTGTCTATTATTGAACTGCTCCTATAATTTGGAAGTTTTCTGTAGCTTTCAAGATTTGTTTCCATTATCTCAAATGGATGAGAATTCATGCCCATGTTTACTGAGGAAAATACAGCAGATATGGTATGAAAGATGAAGTATCTGTCTCAGCTTCAAAAAACTAGTATAGCCACCTGGGAGCCAATTGAAGACTTTGATCCCCCTTTCTAAGTTTAGCAAGCATTGAATGCAGTTGGAATTTGGAACTGGAAGATCCGGGGTGAGACCTCAGGGCTTCAATCCAGCTATATGACCAGCTGGCAGAATAAAAATCACGTGAGCAACTAAGAACCAAATTGTCTAACAGGTTGGCTGACTAACCGATGCAATCCTATGGTCCCTTCATCATGGGTTGTGGCAATGTCCTTCCTTGTTGCTTGTTCAGCAAAATGATTATATATAGCTGTTCACCAAACAGCTATAATGGGCACAATTCTGAATAATGTAGTATTCAGATATGAATTGAGTGATGCTTGCATGCAAAATCTAAATCTGGAAGCAACTTGCACCATTTTCCTAAATCTTTTGAATCCTTTACCCTTAGTTCTCTAGCAACATGAAATATAATTCCCTTTTATTTCCTATCTTGCTGTCATGGCAAGCTCAGACTCACATCAGGAGACAATGAGCACTCAGTTCCTCTAGTGGTTGCTGTAGGAACCATGGCCTGCGGTGTTGCACATGGATGAGGTGTGGCTCTCTGGTAACCAGCAGGCACAGCTGCCACAAGTCCCTGACGATGAGTTGCCACCCTATTCCCATCTTCAGGGCTCACCCTTTGAAGAGCAGAGTCACTCTGCAGGGCTCCTCTTCTATTTAAGAATGAA